AGCTCTTCAGCTCAAGGCTAGCGCCCTACCACTTGAGCCACAGTGCCACTTCCGGCTTTTTTCTTTTTGTTTATGTGGTGCTGAGGAATTGAACCCAGGGCCTCATACATGCAAGGCAAGCTCTACCACTGAGCCACCTTCCCAGCCCTACTTTTTTATTTTCTGATTCAAACCACCCTACCTTCAGCAGGTGAGTTCCTTTCCGAGGCCCCAGGCCACAGACATATTGGATCAAAGCCTGGCTGTAAGGATGGGCAATGGCACGGTTGACATCAACTCCAACCTCATTGACCCGGTTGATAAATTCACAGTATAAGGCGTTGAGGAGTTCCTCTTTGACAACATGTTCCTATCAACACACAGTAGGTAGGAATAAAATTACTGTGCCTTTCCACCCACATAGCCTACTTGTCAAATCCTACTCACCTGCAAGGGGTGAAACTTGAGACATAGGATGTCTTCATCAGAGCTGCACACCTGGGCAAACTCTATCAAAGGGTCTTGGATGCGCCGGGCCAGGGAGACAGCCTGTCTCAGGACTGGTGGGTAATCCCGGAACTCTGCCTACAGTGAAATGAGGGTTACAGGGCCTTAAGGTCCCTCAGTGACACTGTCAAAAGGAAATCTAAAACATTTTGACTTGACACAACCTTTCTCTTCTCCTATTGGACCCATTTTCCTAAAACTGCTTTAATCTCTGGAGTCCCCAATCTGAATTGTAACTTAACAAGGAAAAACCTCTATATGATCAGTGAACAGATGGTGTCCCAAGACCGTTTAACTTTATTTTCTTATTAAGTCTTTCTGGATTTTCAGCACTGACTAGAGTAGACTCTAGGGTAGAGTTCCAGTATTACCTCTGACTTCTTGCTGTTCATATAAAGAATGGCCAATTCATTATCGACCAGCTCCACTCCAATAGAAGAGAGTTGTTGGCCTTGGTCCAGCTCATGCACAATGCGCTTCACGTCCTCAATCAACATCTGGGCATCCCTAGAGGAATAAGGAGTATTGCTCTTTAATGTATTTTCTAAGGTATAGATGGATAGTCACTGAGGTAGGGTAGGGATGAAAGAACTTAATGATAAAGAAGACCATTTTCAGAAATGGCCTGGGGTTATCAAAACTACGTAGATACATGCCCACTATGTTATGGGCATATGCTAGATCAACAAGGGATGAGTAACTTTTGAGTCACAGTAACTTTTTAAGCCAGATGCCTTGTGCCTCTACCTGTTCTCTCCTGCAACTGTCACAACATGAGGCTTCTTATTCAGAAGAAATTTCTTTAGAGTTTCAATATCTTGAGCCTGGATTGAAAGAAAATCAGAGTTGAGTGCATCTGTGCACGGGCAAATTTCCAGTAGTTCTCTCTTAAGTAGCATGGTATCTTATAAGACTGGAGAAGAGCAAAAGCTGGAAGGGCCTAAGAGATTGCATGGTCCATGGTATCATCAAGAGATATTTTAACTGTATTTTTTTTGGTCTTTTCTTTTTTGGTACTGGGGCAAGCGCTTTGCCACTGAGCTACATCCCAGCCCTCATCAAGAGATATTTGTAACTTTCTCCTGACAGATAATTGACTTAGGTAAAACCTACTTCTGCTTAATCATCTAATTAGAATTCATCTTGTACTACTCTTGGTCAGATCTAAAGATTAGTCAGTTAGGAAATCAAGACTTGCTGTAAAACAAGAATTACTAGATTCTGGCTGGGTGCTGGTGGCTCATGTCTGTAATCCTAGCTACACAGGAGGTTCAGATCTGAGGATCGTGATTCAAAGCCAGCCCTGGGAAGGAAAGTCAGTGAGACTCTTATCTCCAATTAACCACCAGAAAACTGGAAGTAGCACTGTGCTCAAATGGTAGAATGCTTGCCTTGAGCTGAAGAGCTGAGGGACTGAGCCCAGGCCCAGAGTTTAAGCCCCATCACTACCACCACCACCACCACCAACAACAACAACAAAAAAGAATTACTAGCCCCTAGTTCTAGTCTTGCTCCCTTTTTTTTTTTTTGAGGCAGTTGGTCATGAGACTTGAACTCTGGGCCTGGGCGCTGTCCCTCAGCTCTTCTGCTCAAGGCGAGCACTCTACCACCCGAGCCTCAGCGTCACTTCCAGTTTTCTGGTGGATAACTGGAGGTAAGAGTCTCATGGATTTTCTGCCTGGGCTGGTTTTGAACTGCGATCCTCAGATCTCAGCTTACTGAGTAGCTTGGATTACAGGCGTGAGCTGCCAGTGCCTGGCTGCTCCCTATGTTTTAATACCCTAGTTATGGGACTGTGGGCACAGTGCTTATCCAACTAGCACATGGAGGCTCTGAGTTTAATCCCTAGAACTGCCACCCTCCACCAATAAAAACAAAACTGAATCATCGACCAAATCCACTTGGGCTATGACCTTAAACATAGCTACATGCAGAGTGAGACAGATGACTACACAGTATGTGGATCTCTTTAAATAGGAAGTTCATGTGATCAACACATGGAATCTAACCAATACATATCAAGAAGGCTGAGTTAGCCCGGCGCTAGTGGCTCACACCTGTAATCCTAGCTACTGAGGAGGCTGAGATCTGAGGATCACGGTTCAAAGCTAGCCTGAGCAGGAAAGTCCAGGAAAGTCCATGAGACTCTTATCTCCAATAAGCCACTAGAAAACTGGAAGTGGCGCTGTAGCTCAAGTGGTAGAGCACTCGCCTTGAGCTGAAGAGCTGAGGGCCAGCGCCCAGGCCCAGAGTTCAAGTCCCACGACTGACA